ATACCCTCACAACAGCAAGTTGGCACAGTAAGGGGGCACAGGTGGTGTATCGGCCAGTAGTCATCTCACTCAGTCGACCCGTGGCACCTGCAGGGTCTGTCCCGTCACCTGCTGCCAGTGGGCGTTCGACACTTCACGTGGCCTCAACGTGCACGTAGCCTGGCACAAGCGTCGTGATGACGTCACCGCCACTTAGTTGCGAATGGTGGTTGTTGTTGTGTAGCTGTGTGTGTGTTAAGTGTCTGTGTGTGTGTGTGTCTCTGTGTGTGTGTATATGTGTATCTGTGTGTGTGTGTGTAGTGTGTTTGTTATCTGTGTGTGTGTGTTATCTGTGTGTGTGTGTAATCTGTGTGTGTGTGTGTAATCTGTGTGTGTGTGTAATCTGTGTCTGTGTGTAATCTGTGTGTGTGTAATTTGTGTGTGTAATCTGTGTGTGTGTAATCTGTGTCTGTGTGTGTGTGTGTAATCTGTGTGTGTAATCTGTGTGTAATCTGTGTGTGTGTGTAAGCTGTGTGTAATCTGTGTGTAATCTGTGTGTGTGTAATCTGTGTGTGTGTAGTGTGTGTAATCTGTGTGTGTGTGTGTGTAATATGTGTGTGTGTAATCTGTGTGTAATCTGTGTGTAATCTGTGTGTAATCTGTGTGTAATCTGTGTGTGTGTAATCTGTGTGTGTGTAATCTGTGTGTAATCTGTGTGTAATCTGTGTGTGTGTGTAATCTGTGTGTAATCTGTGTGTGATCTGTGTGTAATCTGTGTGTGATCTGTGTGTGTGTAATGTGTGTGTGTGTGTGCAATCTGTGTGTGATGTGTGTGTAATCTGTGTGTGTGTGATCTGTGTGTAATCTGTGTGTAATCTGTGTGTAATCTGTGTGTGTGTGTAATCTGTGTGTGATCTGTGTGTGTGTGTAATCTGTGTGTGATCTGTGTGTAATCTGTGTGTAATCTGTGTGTGATCTGTGTGTGTGTAATGTGTGTGTGTGTAATCTGTGTGTGATGTGTGTGTAATCTGTGTGTGTGTAATCTGTGTGTGATGTGTGTGTAATCTGTGTGTGTGTAATCTGTGTGTAATGTGTGTGTAATCTGTGTGTGTGTGTAATCTGTGTGTAATCTGTGTGTGATCTGTGTGTAATCTGTGTGTAATCTGTGTGTAATCTGTGTGTGATGTGTGTGTGTAGGGAGACAGCGGTGGTCCGCTGGTGTGTGCCGGAGTGTCCCGCTGGCTGCTGACCGGCGTGACGAGCTGGGGAGACGGCTGTGGGCACGCCCGGCGTCCCGGCGTCTACTCCCGCGTCTCCACCCTGCTGCCCTGGCTTCACAACGTCATGCAGGCACGCTCACTCACCGCTCGCTCACCGCTCACTCACCACTCACCGCTCTGCTGGTGTCTACTCCCGCGTCTCCACCCTGCTGCCCTGGCTTCACAACGTCATGCAGGCACGCTCGCTCACCGCTCACCACTCACCGCTCACTCACCACTCGCTCGCTCACCGCTCGCTCACCGGTCACCACTCACCACTCACCGCTCACCGCTCACCACTCACCGCTCGCTCACCACTCACCGCTCATCACTCACCGCTCACCACTCACCGCTCACCACTCACCGCTCACCACTCACCGCTCACCACTCACCGCTCACTCGCTCACCGCTCGCTCACCGCTCACTCACCGCTCGCTCACCGCTCACCACTCACCACTCACCGCTCACTCACTCACCGCTCGCTCACTCACCGCTCACTCACCGCTCACTCACCGCTCACTCACTCACCGCTCGCTCACCACTCACCGCTCACTCACCGCTCGCTCGCTCACCGCTCACCACTCACCGCTCACTCACTCACCGTTCACTCACTCACCGCTCACTCGCTCACCGCTCACTCACTCACCGCTCACTCACTCACCGCTCACTCACTCACTCACCACTCGCTCACTCACCGCTCACTCACCGCTCGCTCACTCACCGCTCACTCACTGCTCACTCACTCACCGCTCACTCACTCACCGCCCACTCACTCACCGCTCACTCACCGCTCACTCACCGCTCGCTCACTCACCGCCCACTCACTCACCACCGCTCACCGCTCGCTCACTCACCACCGGTCACCGCTCGCTCACTCACCACCGCTCACTCACTCACCGCTCACTCACTCACTCACCGCTCGCTCACTCACCGCTCACTCACCGCTCGCTCACTCACCGCTCACTCACTGCTCACTCACTCACCGCTCACTCACTCACCGCCCACTCACTCACCGCTCACTCACCGCTCACTCACCGCTCACTCACTCACCGCTCGCTCACCACTCACCGCTCACTCACCGCTCACTCACTCACCGCTCGCTCACCACTCACCGCTCACTCACCGCTCGCTCGCTCACCGCTCACCACTCACCGCTCACTCACTCACCGTTCACTCACTCACCGCTCACTCGCTCACCGCTCACTCACTCACCGCTCACTCACTCACCGCTCACTCACTCACTCACCCCTCGCTCACTCACC